CGAAAAACATTGACGTTGAGGACCTCTACATCAAGAACATTGTTGTTCAGCAGGCCCCCGTAAGTCTTTGCGCACCCATTGACATGCATTTTGGCGGATGAGCTGACTTTTCCGTGTTGCAGAAAACCCGTCGCCGCACGTACCGTGCGCACGGTCGTATCAACCCCTACCAGGGTCACCCCTGCCACGTTGAGATCATCCTCTCCGCGTCCGATGCCGAGGTTGAGCGGGCCAAGGACAAGGATGCCGTTGCTACCTCATCACTCACTGGCCTCAACAGGCGGCAGGTTGCCCGCAGGCGGATTGAGGCTGCCCGGACCGCGTAAGGTCCCTTTGCATCCCAGTTGAGGGGAGGCCGAGGTGCGGTGGTGGGAGTGTAGGTGGGAACCATTGCCATCTGCTTGCGACGCCGTGCGCGGGCGTCGTTGTCTTCATATGTATGCGTATGCCATGTCGCCAAAACGATAACAGACCACGCGGTACTATACACATGGGTTATGCATCTTCTCTGCTTTCGGACCAAAGCGTATGTGTCTCGTTCCCCTGGAACTGTTTCGTTGAGGCGCTATACAGGCATGGTATCCAAAGTGCGATGTACTAATACAAAAGGGCGCGGCTTCGATATCATAGCGAACGTAGATGAGACGGCCAGAGGAAGCGGGATGCTACTTCTTTTTCTTCCTTGTACCACGAGCAGCTGTAGAAGCACCTCGCCCACGGGCGCCTCCTCCACCTCGTCTTGAGCCTTTCGCGCCTTTCCGAGGTTGTTTGGAGGCTATGGACGCGGCTGGTACCGCCCTTGAGCATCATAAATTCGCCAAACGGGCCGGGCGTGAAACGCACCTGGTGAATGTCTTGGGTCCTCCTCATCCTCCCCATACTCTGTCCCTGCGTCGGTCCCGGTCGCTATGCTATCTCGCGGGGTAGGCGCGACGCTCTCATCTCCGCTCTCTTGAGTCAACGCACTGCTGTCGCTGTCCCCGCCCACGAGACCGGCCATGTGCTTCAATTTGCTCTTCCCCTTGCGGCCCGCTCCCCGCCCTGACTTCGTGGGTGCTGATGGTGATGGCGCTGGGGATGAGGAGGGGAGGGATGCAGATGCGCGCATTCGACGTGCGGAGACGAGCGAGTCGAGCGTCTCGTCCTGAGGTAGGGTATACTCGTGACGGAAGAAGGGGTGCATGGATAGGTTGTCCGAGGGCGATGGTGAACGGACATGCATTGGTGGTGTGCTCGCGGGGCTCTCCCCAGGAAGTTCGTACCCATCTGCCTCCTACCACGTGTGCGAGGAGGGAGGGAGGGGTCGCGGGCGTAAATGAACACACATCAGCGGACGGACTGCACACGGGCCACTCACAATGCTCTCGAGTATGTCAAGGTCGTAGCAGCTGCGCAGCTTGTCCCACAGCTCCTCTATAGCGACCATGTGTCCCGTATCTCGCAGTATCGAGTTGCGCATGGTGAGGACGTGGAAGTGGCGGTGGATGCCGACGGGGCGCGCGCGCATGAGCGAGCGGAAGAACGCGATCTCGCCTTCGACGGTGTCTAGCCATCGAGGTTCGGGGGACATCGCGTCGTCGTCGACTTCCATCTTTGTCGTCGTCGTAGAGGTTGGGAGAAGCGGAGAAGAGGATTGACGGACGACGATGGGACGGTGGGTGGTTGAGGCCAGTGCAGATGCAGCGGTGGCGGGGACGGTTTCGGGCCCGGCGCGTCGACGCGAGCGGCGAGCTGTGATCTGGTTCGGACGCGGCACGTGAGCAACTACCACGAATGTGTTTGACGGTCAACTCGGATTCGTCCAGGGTCCTCTTCTACACCGTCATGTCGCCATGCACAACCTGAACTGTTCTCTAAATGCTTTTTACGAATGGCGATGATCTTGGGTACTGTCACGACTCGCTCAGCGGAGTACTAGTCTTATTTGTCTATCTCTGAATCAAACCAGTATCTGGCTCAGTACGCTTGTCGTTGATACGATGTACGGCTCGAACAAACACATGGAACCCTTACATGCTTGTTGTTGAGGATCTTGACTGAAACTGCCGGCTTACTGTCTTGTTCTCGTCGGTGTTGGATATGGCGACAAATCACCCCGCTATATCACTCTACCATGCAAAGTCTCATACATGCTGCCCATGCTCGTGGGGACTTCCTGGTAGGAAACTCAGCGAGGAGCGGTCAAGAGAAGGAAGTAGTGACGTGAACTAAGCCTAGTACTGTATACGAGGACCAGGCGGAGCGATCACTGAGTACTGAGGATCTGAGATTAGTAATACTTGCCGGCGGATTACCTGGCCTCTCGAACGGTTCACCAATTCTTACGATGTACATGCAATCATACTACAAGGGGCATGGTACTAGTGTTCTCAGGCCTAAGAGTGCAAATGTGGACTAGTAGCATTGTGGGCGCACCTCAGGCTGTCTCAGTTGGCTCCCACTGTGGCTGTGTGCTCGGCCGGGTGTATGTACTACGTACTACATCGGCTTCAAGTTCAAACTTCAAGGAGCCAAGGAGCAATCCCAAAAGGCCAACGGTTCTCTTTCATGCTGCGTCTCATACTTGCTGCGCTCCTGTGACCGCTAACTTCACTGCCGACAGGATCATTGGTCCATTGCGTGGGCCTTTCACGGCACAGTGCAGCGCGTTCGGTCGTTCTACCTTGCAGCTACTAGGAGCGCATTCACAGCATTCCTCCTCTGTCAGCAGGGAATCTTTCTGGGATGCGCACCCAAAGAACTGAATAGGAATCGCGTGAATGCTAGTCGGCATGACCATCCCGGTCCCTACCGGACCTATAAACCAACCCACGCTGGTATATATGATGCGTGTTAAAGCTAAGCGTTGCTCACTTGTCTAGGCGCCCTACTCATATCGCAGGGCAGTAGCACAATCCGAGACTCTCGGAGTCCCCCACTGCCCTAGGATGGTCTGCCAGGGTGACGAGTCGACTCGGCAGCGCACGAATACAGCCGATCTAGGGCTGCGCCGAAGCCGCCAAAGACCGCTATGACATTTCTTTCATAGAGTGCAATCGCCGACCGGGCATTCCTCCCATCCATCCCTACAACTGCACTACGATGTTATTGACGTACGCTGGCCATAGCGACAGCAGCGTAATAGGTCCTTGTGACTGACACCGCAGCTGGTCGAAAGGTATAAATACGGTGGGGACAGAAGACCTCAGTCCAACACCCGCCTTCCCAGCCCAACTAGATCCAACATCAGCCTTACTCGCCATGTCCTTCTTCACCCCCGCCCCTCCGCCCCCGACCAAGCTCGGTCGTCACCGCCAGCTCGCTCCCAATGCTGGTATTCACGTCTCCCCGCTCTGTCTGGGCGGCATGAGTCTTGGTGACCAGTGGCAGAAGTTCGGCATGGGCTCTATGGACAAGGAGGCGAGCTTCAAGCTCCTCGATGCGTTCTATGAGGCCGGCGGGAACTTCATCGATACCGCGAACAACTACCAGAACGAGACGTCTGAGAAGTTCATCGGCGAATGGATGGAGGAGCGTGGTGTGCGTGACCAGATGGTCATTGCGACGAAGGTTTGTTTCTTGTGTCCGACGGCTTACAGTATCACAAGGAATATTGTCTGATATAATATCGCAGTACACCACCATATACAAGGTTGGGAGGGACGACATCAAGCAGAAGACGTCGTACGCCGGCAACAACATCAAGTCCATGCACATCTCCGTCGAGGAGTCGCTCAAGAAGCTCCGCACCTCATACATCGACATTCTCTACGTCCATTGGGTACGTTCTCGCGCAGTCTACCGCATGTAATCACCCTTCTGACACCAGTGAACCGCTAGTGGGATTGGACGACCACCATCGAGGAGGTCATGAATGGCCTCCACAACCTCGTCGCGCAGGGCAAGGTCCTCTACCTGGTATGCCATATCCAGCGACCTGGCCGTCCGAGTAATTGTCTCACCTATCCTCTTAGGGCGTGTCCGATACCCCCGCCTGGGTCGTCTCCCGCGCCAACACCTACGCACGCATGGCGCACAAGACCCCCTTCGTCGTCTATCAAGGTGCATGGAGCGTCCTTCAGCGCGACCTTGAGCGCGAGATCATTCCCATGTGCAGAGCCGAGGGCATGGCCATCGCCCCGTGGAACGTGCTCGCAGCCGGCAAGATCCGCACCGACGCCGAGGAAGAGGAACGTCGCCGCACGGGCGAGAAGGGTGCGCACTCTTTCCTTTTGATCAACGGTACATCACTGGGCTGTCAGGCTGAGGGGTTCCCGCGGCGTCGACAGGCCGTACGGCGCTGAACCCGAACTGGGAGCGCAACGAGACGGAGCGGAAAATGGCCAAGGTGCTCGAGGAAATCGCTGCGGAAACGAAGGCAGCCAACATCCAAGCAGGTGGGAAAAAATCTGGTCGTTCTCATGCCCATCATCACCGTTACTCACATCAAGTCTTGACCGCAGTGGCGATCGCGTACGTCATGCAGAAGGTGCCCTACGTCTTCCCCATCATCGGTGGACGAAAGGTCGAGCACTTCAAGGGGAACCTCGACGCGCTCGAGATCGCACTTACGGAAGACCACTTCAAGCGCATCGAGAGCGTGCAGCCCTTTGACGTCGGTTTCCCCGCCAACTTCATCGTAAGTCGCGCGTGCCCAGCTTGTCTTGGTCCGGATGATGACCGTCTTCTGTGCAGGGCGATGGCACAGAGTACAACTTCGGCTCCAAGATGGTTGCACAGTTCGACAAGTGGCCTCTCCCCCAAGCTCTCCGTCCTCAGAAGAACTAGTGTCGCGGGATCGTGCTTTCGATATATAGTAGCTCGAATAGTACAGAGCAATGTATTTGATCTGATGCAGTACAAACCCCGTGTGTCTGCACGAACTCGATATCAATGCGCGGGCTTATCAGCAGTTACATCAAAAAAGATAATGTCAACAACGCTGGCGTATCGTTAGTGAGCATGGGCGCCGCAGCGAGGGTCCAAAATGTGACCCGCTCAGAGCAGCAGAAAAACAAATATCCTCCGAGCCGGGATCGAACCAGCGACATCAAGATAGCAGCCAATTACAGTCTTGCGCTCTTCCAACTGAGCTATCGGAGGTTGCTATAGTGCAATCATATTAGTATATGTCGAGAACATCTCCTGAGCATGATCCTGGTGGTAAGTAGGGGCAAAGTGCTTTGTACCATGAACGTGCCACATTATTGATACAGATGCCAGACTAATGCCGTACTGCCGCAGTCGGGAGGTCTATGTGTAACTAATATACCGTTAAGATAGGAGGAGGATGAGGTGGGGAGGAGAGGGGAAGGCACCCAAGCGCACGAGCTCTCTCGTTCCCCGAAATCCAGTTGTAGTGTCCGCCGCGACCCGCACAAGCGCCTATTACCCTTGAAGTCCAGCACCGTACTTGCATCCAAACTGACGCACTGCGCATCCAATCATGGCTTCGAGCCGGACCCTGTTGTAGGGGAGGAGGCGGAGGCCGCGCCCTTCCACCACTTCGACACCTTCTCGGCGGAGTAGCGGAGGCTCTTGATGGGGCCCGCGCTAACAAGGCCCTTGAGCGTCTGTACGGCCGAGGGGTACCGCACGATCCGGTGCAGTTCTGCGGCAGGCGACTGAGTCAGCCGGAGGCGCCTTGGAAAGCGACGTCGGAGGAGTGTCTACACGTACCTTTCTCGATAACGGTGGGCAACGCGGCGTCGCCGGCGAGCTTCGTCCAGTACATGTTCTCGTCAGCCTCTCTAGAAGGAATGGACGGCTGCGACGCGTAGGTGGTCGTGATGCGCTTGAGCAAGTTCGATGGGAGCTTCCTGAGATGCGCCGCACGCGCGTGCGGGCTCGTGTCCTGCTGGATCGTGTCCGAGTGGGCGGGCCAGTGCACGCCGGGTAGGGCGACGACGAGGCGGTGGTAGAGCTCCTTGAACTGCGGCGCCTGCGTACGGACGATGTTCCCTACCTTACCGCGGTTCTCCGCGGGGAGGAGCATGCGCACGTCGCCGCCGTACGAGAAACCCGCGATGCGCTCGAAGAGCTCACGCTCCGAGAACGAGTCGGGGAGCGTGAGCAGCGCAGTGCGCACTGCGGAGGTGAGGTTCACTTGTTGCGTGAGCCGCACGCGCGCGTCGTCCTTGATAATACGGATAGGCTTGTGCATGCGCCCGGAGAGATACAGCGTGTTCCAGTTCAGCAGGTCGGAGCACAGGTTGTCGACCGTCGTGACACCGTACTTGATCGTCTGAACCGGATATAAGTACTTTGTCCTGTGCTCACGCGGGCCTGCGAAGGACGTACCACTCCATTCATTTGAACCATGGAGTTGAACCACACGCCGGGGGGAATGGCTTCCACTTTCGAGACGAACGAGGAACCCAGCATCCGGGCACCCAGCGGGTAGTGCCCGGGATACTGGTGCATATTGATCGAATGCCAGTGATCCGCGTGCGTGACGGCGAACATAAAGTCGAGCATCGGGCCGTCCTTCGATGCGGGGTTGCTGGTCGTGTACCCATCCTGCTCGAACACGCCTGAACCGTACGCAAACGCATACCGGATCGGCGCTTCGAACTTGGCGACAATGCTTTCGAGCAGGGCGCGCGTAGAGTCCGCGACCGGCAAGAACTGATTGCGGCCGAAAGAGGGCGGGAGCGATGCGAGCACCTGGTGTCGGTGAGACACCGCAGGACGGGGCGCGGGATTAAGACGGGTACGGCTGAGCGGCTTCGAGGTCGGGTGCTTGGAGGGCGGGGGAGGGGGCGGGGGTTGTGGGCCGGACGATGTCGCAGTCTCTGTGGAGAGGGAGCGAGCGACGAGGGTGGGGAGCCTGCGAGCATGCGTTCGGGAGATCATGGCGGTTTGAGAGAAAGAAATGAGGACGGTCGGAGGTGCAGCGTGGTGGAAAGGTCGAGGGGATGTGTAGGAGGCCTAGAGCGAGTACGGAAGGGTGCGATGGAGGACGGCGGTGAGTGCCGCTCTCACAAGCGCCGGCCAGAACATGCGCAGGCACCCCAGGTCACGAGACTCGACCCCAGCGCCCCGCTTTTCGCGCCATCCCGCGTCCGTCATTCGCAGAAGTTGTGGAGAACGTCGACCTCCATGAGTTCGTGGTTTTGACTGGTCACAAGTTCAGTGGGCTGTTGCGCGTCCAGGGATTTCACGGTGAGAGCACTCGGAGACAGGAGCCATTAGCCGCTATTATTCGCTCAAATCCAATTTGTACTACACAGGTGTTCAAGCTTCCGTCCGCATCAGCTTGAATGCCAAATCGTACGAAATGATTCCTTCGTGCTATGCAATGTGCATGCTACGAGCTCCTGAACCCAAGTTGGGAGCCTTGTCCACGATGCTGAGATAACGCCATGTCCACTTGATAACTACCTGCAATGTTCGCAACCAACGACCCGTACGATACTACAAGTGCAACAGCGGCCGAAGCGGTGTCGATGCCCATACAATGCTGGGCCGTGTCTATCCACATTCACGTCCACGTTCAAATCTCAATGTCGAGTGATAGGCTCGAAGCGCGGCGGAAGCTCGCCGAGGAATACCAGAGTGCAATGTCCTTTTCCGCTGTTACATTCCAGCCCTTGGGACACGGTCGAGTCGACGAAAGAATGTTTATGGAGCGTTGGGTCATCTTCCGACAACGATGGGTCTTCCTAGCGGTGTTTGATGGTAAGACTTCCATGCCTTCAAGTCGCATTCCATGACAGCACTCACCCCGTTTGTAGACCATATGGGATCGTACGCCTCCAAGTATTCGACACAAAGTGCGATACGCATCCGAACGACACATTCAAAGTGCTTAGGGGGCCAAGCAACTCGCGATACCTACCTGGCGCCACCTTCCTCCATGGCCCTTATGTCCCATGTTATGTTCAACCGATTAAACCGCTCTTCATGGAAGGAACCACTGAGAATTTGTCGCAATCCTGGGCAGCGGTGTAAAGAAGACGCACAGGGCCTGATACAGGAGCGTGCGGAGGTCCTTCAGCGTGCCTGGTGTTAATTGATGAACATCGTAGGCTTTGGCCTGATCAACGTAGACCTTCGCCTCATACGAAGTGAGTGTCGTATATCATTTTAGGCTTCGCCTCATACTCACCGGTAGATACTGCTTCATGTACGGGCGGACAGTATGGATTAACCATCTGGTGGATAGCTCGCGCATCTTCTCCCACGGAGCCTCAAGTCGCGTTCGCTCTCTTGCAGTCCACCCTATCCCTCTACCTGCCCCATCTTTTGACCCACTTGCTGAAGATGCTCTGGGTCTTGGAGCCGAGAAGAGGAGGATATGGCTGTGGACATTATAGGTCATTTGCTCGGCGCTGCAGATACACAACTGTGGTTGTAATCAGTGGTCCTTGGCCAAAATCGTCCGCGAGCTGAATATCCCGCAATCGCAAAATATCGATGACGTGACGGTCCTAGTAAGTAGCTCACCCTGAGCCCTGGCATCCTGTCTGTTTCATCAGGCACTTCAACAATTACGGTGGCTGATGGTACTACTCAATAGTTACTCAATATTGAACTGTGGTCCAGCCCGAAACTGAACTTTTCTCGAGTCGGTTCCGCCGATACAACTACGACGGAGACGCCCAGGTCGTCAAGGGGAGTGTGACGGTGTGACAGTACGCGTTTGGACGCGTTCCGTCACACAGCGGAGGCTGGTCGACATGCTCCAGCCTGAGAGCAACCAAGCCCACTGCAGGTTTGCTGGGTCCTTGCAGAAATGAGAGCATATCCATTGTGAATTCCTTTCAGGCTTTCAGGACGATCCCTGCGTGAGCAGCTGCGGTATGCGCAATGAGGGCAATGAAGACGTGTCCGGGGTCCGACTGAACACGCTGCCACTGAGGGATACGGGAGAGCCTGAGATCAGAGAGCGCGGGGAAAGGGAAACCGTCCAAGTCTTCCTCTGCCCACTCGTCCAACTTGAACATACGAACCCTCAGACTCTCCTCCGGGGCCTTCCAGTTCACCTTGCTTTCCTTTGACCTCCATAATATACCTCTTTGCTTGGCGGCTTGCCTCTGTTTCACTCTGTCTATAGCTAGTTTCCTTCTCCTGACCCGCTCGTTCCTTCTCGGCTTCTTGCACTGAACATGTCCGTCCCTTCTTCCCCCACCCAGACTCCCGGAGAGATTCTTTCGAGTCCCGTCACTCCTCCAACGCGCACCGTCGCCATTATCAAAAACCATGCGCTCAACCACAGATTCGACATCGAGCTGCGCATCTCCGACGCAGGCTTTGAGGTATGCTATGCTATCGCGCGCGCCTCGACCGCGCCAGGTCTCCGAGCTTCCAAGCTAAAGTGACCGCACCCCGCAGATCGTGAAAGAAAGGCAGATGGAGTTCGACATCGAGACCGACCCGGAGACGCTCTTCGAGTTGTTCGGCAGCGACTACGAGTCCTTCGCAGAGTGAGTGCCTCTCCCAGATCCCTCCACCCCCTGATCCGCCTGCCTCGCCCCCTGTCCTTACGTGAATCTCCATGCTCACGCGTCCATTCCTGCTCTCAGGGGCCCCGTGTGGGTATATGTCCTCGAGCGCAGGCGTGCCGTCGAGGTCTGGCACTCGCTCATGGGCGACCCCGACCCCGACGTCGCGCGCAGGGACACCCCGAACTCCATCCGCGCGCTCTACGGCCTCTCAGCCCAGCAGAACGCCGTCATGGGCTCCGCGGACGTCCAGATGGCCGAGATGCAGATCCAGGCCATCTTCGCCTCCTCCCCGCCGTTCCCCACCACCGAACTCCCCGATGTCGGCCACTCCGATTACGACCATATCCCCGCGGGCTCGCTTCATTCCGCCTCCTCGACTCAGAACGGGGGGTATGCGGCCTCGTCCACCGCGGGCACCTCCGTGAATGGCACGCGCAAGCCGTCGTTCAAGGCGCGCACCATACCTCCTACCCACGCTGCGCCGGACATTGTGCCGCGCATGTCTAAAGCCGCTGCGCTCCGCGCAGGTATACCCGTCGAAGCTCCGAAACGTGCCCCTCCGACCAAAGAGCGCCTCGCGCAGACGTTTGCGAACGTGCCCGGGCACAAACGCTCTGAGACAATCACTGTCGCGTCCACCGCGCCACCTGCAGT